CATAGATTTATTCAAAATAAAAAAATCACGTGCGCGTTCCATTTCGGAACGCGGATCACTTTGCCAAGAAAAATTTTAAAAATTCTCAATTATATATGAGTAATGTATATCGATAATAATACAATAAAATAAATTCATGAAATATACACGCAAAGTAGACTGATTATTTATGTAAATTTGAGCCATCTTCGTAAATGATAAAAATTACTAGTATGGGACAGATTTGTCTCGCAGATTACTTTTCCCAAGGAGAATTCTCGAGTTACATCGATAATTATACAACGTTTTAAATCATGCAAAACTAAACACAATTAATCAGCCACCAGGGCCAGCTTTATTATATAAAAAGAAATTACAAGATAAAAATATACATATTCTTAGAAATTTTTTATCTAATTTAAGAATTTCTTGGTGGAGAATATGTCGTTGACATCATCGATGTTGATGGAGTTCGCTCTTCACACGCTGGTAGAAGATTGATCTCATCTTTTATACTTACCAACATTCCAACAATCTCAATAACTATAGCCCTTAACTTGAGACTGCCTCTTAAAAATTCTTCAACAACCTGATGCGTGGAAATTCGTAAAGGTATAGTAATCTCGCAAATTCGATAAACCCGGTAAAAAACACCTTCAAATAAATCTAACAAAGAAACGAATATACATTCTCCTATCACCTGGATTTCTAGAATAGGAATTTTTTCTAATTCACAATGTATTAACCTTGCCCCGGAAGAAGTGTCCTCTCTATTTTCAAAAAAAATATTATAACGTTCATCGAAACAATCCTTACAAATATGAACCAGCTTCTTCTAATCTAAAATTTCCTTATCTGGTTTTGGAAATAAGCGTGAAATCTCCACTAGAACCAACTCATTTGCCTTCATATCTAATTTCAATAAAACCTGAAGGTCAGGTTTTTTCCCTAAATTAATAGAACCCATCTGATTTTTTCTACACTGTGAAGATTTGCTTGTCTGTTCGGACCATGCTTATTTTAGAGGCTATTTAGAGTATGTAAAAAGCGGATCCAGTACTTTGGATACCGCATGAATTACATAAGAATTCTCACTATAATCTTCTTCTGTTAGTAATGGCCTACAACTCCAAATGCGACGCCTGAAGTTAAAAAAATAGTAAGTTATTACCGATATGAGAATACTTGCGATTTCATATTAACTTACAATCCTTCTAATAAGTCAAAAGTTGTTATTAGAATGCGTCTAGTTCCGAGTGTCATCTCTCCATGGGGAAAGCTTATAGGTAACATTAAAGCCAAATCGAAATCAGTTCTTAGTTCGCTATATGAACTTACAAATTCATCCAATTTGGTTGGAAAATTCATTATTACAGAATGAATGCCTTGATAAAATTTGTTTCGTTTCTAAAGTTAATAGCTTTGTAAATATGTCTTCATTCCCTGTAATATCAATTACTCCCGATGCTATTGGAATCTCTGGTTCTATTGTTCCCAAATCTAAGTGTTGCAAAATATTAAATAGTTCAGTATATACACTTAAGCTTTCTTTTGAGCATTCGCCATGTATTTTAGCATTCTAAATAATTAATCTTTTATTAGAAAGGCTAGCAATGATAATATTTGAACCAAAATTCTAATATAATAATTACTTACACATCCACCCATTATAAAATTAATATTATTTTGAATTATAATTAGATTTTGTTCTTGTTCCTCCGATTGATGCTAGAATAAAAATATTTTAGTTACTTCTTTTATATCAGTGGCTAATTTACGGCAAAAAATTCATCATAATTTACGAACCTTTTCTTTTTCCACTCCCCAAGCATCTTTATAAATTTTTTGGCGTTGTAACTGAAATAAAAAAAAATAGCTTAGTATACTAATCTCATAAATAAATACTTATTATTTAATACTAAAAAATCAATTGGTGCTAAGTTTGTTCATTTTTCATATTTTTTACGAGATTCATGCCCACGGATAATGACGAGGTACACGAAGGCATTGCCCGTATCATTCCTAGTATAGAATAAACCCATACTAGACGACAAATCTTCTGCACTGTACCCTTCGATGCTTATAGTGCCAGCATTCTGTAAGCTAAGACATACGCTTAATTTTTGTTTGCGCATACCCGAATACAGACAGCAACATAGGCCTATGTTGTTTTCCTCCTACTCTCTTATATGTAGTATTTCATCATCTTTTTTAGGGAATATATCTAATTATTTTTTATTACATACCTTGGGCATAGTATCAAATTGTAATAAAATATCCTCTAGTTTACGTTTATTTCTCAAACTGCTTCTATTACAAAATTCTATACCTTTCTCAAGTTCATGATGATATTGAGCCTCTGCTACATTAAGGTTAGCCTTCCTTAGAACTTTGACACTCGGTAAATAGACGTTTGGAAGCCATTCTCTAAAGTACAACTCTTGGGTTTGATGATTACGGTTGCGGTAAAAGTAATTTTCAGTATTATCAGACATTTTTAGATAAATTTGAGCAGTAAAATATATAAGTATATAAATCAAACAGAATCACTATAAAGCGACAAACTTCTATAACTTCGTTATACTCCTCTTTATAAATGAATTTCGCCTGAAACTCAAAATATTAGATAGGTTAGACAGAAGTAAAAACATGTACTCTTATATCGAAAATTTCCACGATATAAGTTGAGGCATGTATTTCCACACAGAGAAATTTCTATCGATGATGCAAAGAATTCTATAAATTTTGTAAATGTATACATCACGAGTTATAGAGTCATGTAAGGTTAAAGGGACTCAATACTCCGTAGTACATGCATACATTGTGCGCATTTAGGCCAGATAAGGTTTCAGTCCGGAGTTAAGCTCCCACAAAATAAATTCAGAACATATCGATATGTGGCATGAGTTAATTGACCGACTTTGGTTTAAGTACTAATTCCAGAAAAATGAAAAATGGCAATTTCTACTTGTAATCCATCTCACAAATATGTTATGCATAACGATAAGCCTTGCAAGGTAATACAGATAAATTTTATATGTATGCGAAATAATTCTAACAAACACATGTCACTAAGCCTGATGTGGGCAGGTTTAAATATTTATTTCATGATCAGTCCATTTTGCGCAATGAGGTGTAGTGTTTAGTTGCCGAGACGGGATATATATCACCAGGGCGCAGTATTAATCCATAGGCTGTAGCATAAATTTAATGGTTATCGTTAACACATGTGGAGTGATAAGCAATTAATACATTGGTTTAAAAATTACCAACCCGATATGGGTAAAAACTTTTATAAAATGTTTTATTAATACATTTTTGAAATACGACTGTAAGAACACTATTTTTTCTAATCGCCGAGGCGGGACACCATGTCACCAGGGCGCAGTAGAATGTGGCGCAGTATTTTACACTTCCTGACCCTTTTAAAACTTCAGCAATTACATAATCAGTATCATCTACGGTAAGATTCAGGATGAAACCCGGAGGGATAGATTTTACCCATGTTATTTTTTCTTTGCCTATACTATTGAAAATTTTAAACATCTTTCGGGCTCTTTCTATTTTTTTTTTTAAAGCACTATCAGAGAATTTTGCCTCAGGAATTTCCTTCCTAACCTCACTTTTGACCAAAGCCCTAGCTCCATCTTTACCATAAGTGGGTTTTAGCTCCTTATATTGATTATATAAAGCCTCCCCAAAATAAAAGTAGCTGGTGATAAGGTTATGAGATGTATCTTTATTTTTAGATTCGGCACTATCAATCCTATTAGAAAGTTTTAAAAAAATACCCCTGGTATTAGTTGTGTAACTTCTTTCTTCTAAGCTTCTATCAACAATAGAAATATCAGTTAATAATTTTTCTATAAGTTGTTTTAGTATACTTGAGACCTTTCTACCAACTTTTTTTGCTTTCTTGTTAGAGGATTTTTTTGAAAAGCCACTAGAATGTTTTTTCTAGGCAGTACTTGACTCTTGGGTAACAGTTACTATAACACCGTCATCAATTTCCATATCAGTTGGTGGGCATATAGGACACAGTTTTTGTGGATTATCGATATAATTGTAATGGATAATATGTTTGCAAGTTAAGTATATGAGTGGTTTTGAGGGACCTTGAAGTTGAGGAGAGAACTGAAGAAAGCCTATAGGTAGGAGACATGAAGAAAGATCTTCAGAACATTTGGCACACCTCAAATTACTTTTGACTTGTTGGGTTGCCATATCCTCGATCCCTTCCATCTATATAGGTGGTAAAGATAGGACAAATGTTTCACTCATCAAAGGTGAAATTCCAGTTGATTGGAAGGCCTTCTTGGAATCAGTTAATGGCAAATTGGAAACAGTGTCAAGAAGATTGGCTTGATCTAATATTTCCACATTCTTTCTACAACCCAGAAATGGACATGTGTTTGGAACAGTAAGTAAAAGCTTTTTTTCAATACAGAGTTTATGAAAAAGGTGTCCACATATTAAGTATGTGAATGCCTTGAGAGGAGATATTAAAATGTCATTGCTACATTCGGAGCATGGCCCTAGTTCTGTAATTTTTTTACCCTTAATAATACCATCCTTGAAGATTTTTAGAATATTATATGCGAGATTTTTGATATTATTAATGGAAGTAGATAGTGCAGAAGTAGAAGTGGTAGACATATTTCAATTATAACCAGATAAGTTTTACATAATGAAATCCCTTATATTTAGCTTATTTTTATAGTTTATTCTTTACAACTAACAAATCTAATTTGCAGATTTTTTAAAAAAAACTAATTTTGGGGTTGGCAATTTGTTTATTTATGAATTAATTAGTATAGAGATCACATATGTTTTTTACATAACTATATATCATTTTTAACTCCAATTCATACCTATAAAATCTAATAATGACCCATAATGGAATTTTATTATATAGAATAGATAATGCTATAGTGCCTATAGAATCAGATCTGTAAATCACTAGTGTAATTTCTATTCTTGTCTTGTTCTAACATCAAAGGCATCAGATTGACTTGCATAATGCTAATTTAAAGATTTGTAATAGGTGTAATATGCCAGAACCTTCAGGAAAAAAGTTGATAGATTAATTACTCATTGATTGTGGAATTAACTATATGCATTTTATATGATTTGAAGATTTTCAATTAGAAAAAAATAAAACACTAGTGGTATATGTGGCTAAGCAAAAAATCTTTCGAATTACTAATCAGTATTCTGGACTAGTTGGATCAGACTGCTCAAGTAAATTTTTAATATGAGGTTAGCAAAAGTCTTCCCAGTTACCTTAAATTTTCAAGTTTATTAGTATTTTGATAATACCAATCTTGGGCATGTTTTATTAATGTGCCACCTGGATGATAAAACCATTTTCTCACTGTGTGCTAGATTATTTTAGCTAAATTTATTCATTTTTTCTATAAATGATATGCTTACTAGATGATAATTACTGGTTGAGTTTTTATATACAAAGTTTTAAAATATGCTACTTGGGTTTTAAATTCTCTAAATTCAGAGTTATTGGCTATATATTCTCTTCTGGTTAAATTATTTTTAATACAGAATACAAAGTTTCTCCAATAGTTCTTATCTTTTATTTCATGTTCTGATATAAATAAACATCTACATATATATTCGGGTGGATAATACTTTGCAAATCATAGCCAAGCTTCTGGTGTTTTTAAATTACTAATATAGTTTAAGCCATATTCAGATAACATATATTGGGTATAACTATTTTTTTTCCCATTCCTCAAAAATATCTTGAATATTAGACATGTTTAACATGTAGATTTTATTAACTAAGACTTTGTATATTTCTAATATAACATTAAAAAACTTCTATAATTAGTTATAGTATTCTTTAATAATTTTTTTATCCAAAAAATATTTGTTATAAAGCATTTATTCCTTGAAACGAAGTCTAGCTTTTATAGCTCTTTCTTCTGCTTTCTTGAAAACTATTTTAGATGCTACCGGGTATTTATATATTCCAATTCACCAATGTCTATAGAGGAGGGTTTGAATTCCATCAAGTAAGATCCAGCGTTTGTTATCATATGTTTAAACTGATTTTATTTACTCTCTCTAGATATATTTGATAATCATAACTATGGAGACCATACATATCATACCAGGTTAGTTTCTTGTTTCTAAGACATTCTAAGGACTTATCATGTATAAGTTTCCGCTTAACTACACATTTCTTTACACCCTTTGCCTTTTGTATTTCATGCTTCTTTTTAGGGTCTTCAGAATCTGGGTCATCAAGGGTTTTAGAATCATGACCTGCTGGAAGAACTAAATACATTTTTGGCTTTAAACATACTGATTCACTTATTGGATTCCTCTTTGTCTTATCCTTTATTAGAAACATGTCTTCTAAATAGTTAAGATCAAAAATGTCTGGCCTTTCTGCTCGATTCTTATCAGTTTCTATAATTATGATAGGTGAGTCTGTATCTGTGTAAAGTAGGTGGGCCTTTTCCCTATAGCAAGGCTTTATGTAACTGTACTAAAAGTTAAACATCATAGCTTTGCTAATGTTAAGAATGGCCTGTCCTATATAAATTGGCTTGTTTAGAGTTATGGCACTTTATAATATATGGATAGCTGTAATTCCTCCTTTGAATTGCTTGAAACCTACAAATAATAGCGAACTTGCTAATCACCTGATTTTTTTATCTTCTTCTGTTTGGAGAAGCTCTACTCTCATATGTTTATAGATATTCTCCATCTGTTTACCAAAGACTGCATTATCTTTTAGCTTATAATACATGACCCCGAACTTATCACCATTGGCTTTTGCTATTTTGTATTTACGAATATTTTCCTTAATATATTCTTTTATCTAGGGGAATTGCTTAAACTTGAGTGCACCGTAGATCTTTGTGACCTTTAGCCCTTGTCTTATATATAGCTGGAGTGCATAATAATAGACCACATAGTTCTTTTTGGAATAAAGGGTTTGGATGAGCTTTTTTTCTATTACATATTTGCCACCTCTCACTTTCTTGTCTTGTACTAATTTTGTGTTATATAGACTTAACCAGTTTTCAAGTACTATTTGCTTTTCTGATGCTAGAGAGTAGTCTGCAAAAAAGTCATGTAAGTGTGCTAGAACTTCTAAGTCTACTTCGGGCATATAGCCTATTTCTGCATTTGGCGCAATAGTTTGAATATTTGGTACTTCTTCTGGACCTACCTTGCCTATTATCTCTGTAGGTATATATTATGTCATTGCACCTGAATATAAGGTGTTTATGTTCTTATACATGGTCCAAGATGTTGGTTTGCTTGGATCATAGTCAGGACATTGAGGATTATTCGCTTTGGTATATCGGTAACTTGCTATTGTCATATCTCCTCAAATACCTTTCTCAACTATTAGATACTCATCCATATCTATTATAAGCTTAAGTTTAGCTCCGCTACTCTTGTATAAAGAATCATTGAACATTCCTGGTACTGAGACATAATGAGAGGGGTCTAAACCTTTATCTTGCAAACACATAATAGTATAATTTATAAATATATTGGCAAGTAATAATATATCTGTTTTAAAGTAATGATCATTGTATTTTCTGAAACTTTTCATCTTAAATATTTGCCATACTTTTTGAGCGTGTTCATAGTCCTCCTTACTGATATTTTGCTGACTGAGAAGTAAATAGAAATCCTTTCTAGATGGGAGGCTTGTTCTGTCAAATTTAGCCCATGAATTTGTCCAATTATATGTAAATACACCCTTTTGAAAAAGAAGTTTAATCTTTTCTATTGAATTACCTTTTGCAGTAAAGTGCTTAACAGTTAGGGAGAACTTTTCTGGATTTTCTCCTAAACATGCTACTAACTTATCTAATCCCATTGCCATATGTTAGAAGCTGTCAAGAAATCAGAGTTGACCAATATCCATGGCCTTGTACTTTTCTATATTCTTTAGAATACAATTTAGCTCATCAGCCATAAATTTTGAAACAACTTTCATGAGTGGATAAGAGTTGTATCCTCAAAAATTATAAGAGATAAGGGGCACTTTGGTTTCGAAAAAGCCTATGCATAACTTTTTATTACAAGAGTCATGAGCTGGGCCTCAGTACTTTCTATTTATATGATCATGATCTTTTACTTTTCGATTAAGTGCACTTAAAGCTTCTTAGTATCTTTTCTGTGCCTCTTTCTTTTTAGGATGTTCTTTTTCCATACATGATTCCTATTCTTTGATTTCTAATAAATTATGCTTTGCTTCTTTGAGTTTTTGTACTATCTCTGATGCTGGTTTCAAAAAAGGTTCCTTGCAAATCTAGCATTCTGTTACCTCATTGTATGCTTTAAGATCTCCTGGTACCATTATCATTTCTGCAGGCGCAGATAAGTCTTTCTGTATGTTTGCCAACTCCTCCTCGATTTTTGTAACAAATCTTTCAAGTGTATCTGGGCCTCTATATAAATCATGACTTATGATTTCATAGTTAAGTGAACTATCTATATGAACAACTATATAGCAATAACCACATAGCTTGTGCATCTACAATCTTTCAGTATGGGTTAACTTCATTTTCTTTTCTGGAGTTAACTTTTCAGTTAATATTTCTAGATCCCAGAAAATGCGATATGGATTTGGTTGCATGCATTTATGATTATAAAAAGCTTTGATACTCCTATTCTTAACTGACATTTGTGGTTGCTGGGGGCATTATTTAGACCCTTGCATTTTGGCAAATGTTTATTGTATTTTATCTCTGAAGAGTATACATGAAGACAATAACGGCAGAGGTATTTTTGTCCTTTATGCTTGCTATGATTGTATACTAGCTTATGTAAATCTTTAATAATACAGTAGTAACTTCTTTCTTCTTCTGTAATTACTAGAAGATTTACTTGCTTATATTCATCCCTTCTTCTTTCTGAAATATAGCAAAATTCAAGACACTCATTATGGTTGTGCTATTCATAGACACATAGACTAATTTCAGGATTATTTTTTTTGAACTTTTTATAAACTGGTGTTGAGACTGGTACCAGAATTGGAATGTCATCTATATTAAGTTCCTCCATAAAAGCTCCATATAAGCAATGTAGATTTCTCTCTGGATGAACTTTAACAGGATGCAAAGCTCCTAAAACACTCTATCCGAAACACCAATCATCATCATTTTGAATATTAATAATTCCATTATTACGTTTTGACAAGGTTTCGGGCAAAGGTATATAGGCAGTAGAACCAATTGGATTGAAATCAGCTATTTCTATACTAAATTCTTCTATATATTCTGGGTAAGCATCAGATATTTGATATATTAGTTATCTCTAACCGTCACACTATTACTTACTTATAAATTTTTTTCTTTAATTAATTAATTATTTTAT